TCCTAACCCTAATCTTACAATAGTACTTAATAACGGAAAGCTAAAACGGGAGATTGGAAAACTGATTCCGGTGATTACCAATACCAAGAAAACAATATCGCGGATACTAAAACGCATATTTATTCAGTTGGTTTCGAGAAACGTATCAGCCAGTAAACAGCTGCGGTGGAGCTAATAGTTATGACATTTTTTACGATTTGAAGGCGGTACTACCCGTGACTCAATATCCTCCATTTTCAATCCTAAATAACTTCTAGAATGTTTAAAGTCTGACCGCTGGTGCTGTATACCGGTGAAAATAAAAATCGCTTCTCCTTACCGTTTCTGTGTCTTGACGAAAGACAAATCCAGTTTTGGGATATCTTATGGAAAATTCTATGATCTCGTAGGACACTCTAAAAAACAGGAGAATAAACTCTTTAAAATAGCATAAAAAATGTTTAACTCTTAGCTTCCTCTCAAGCTTATATACACCTTCATTTCCATACACAGCTGAAATTGACAGTTTCGTTAGTGAATAGTAATGGCTTTCGTGAAGATCGATGTTTAAATATGTCAGCCCCACAGTAATTCGAAACGTCACAAACATGAGAATGTTTAAGATTATAGATCTTACCTTATGGCCAAAAACAGCCACAGAAGATCGCCAAAACCTTGGAATGCCCGCCATCTGCACGACTCCAACAACAACCACAACAACAAACGGGTGGCTAAGGGTGGGGTGGAAGGGAATTTATTTTAAAATATTTTCCCAAGGGAAAAGGTAACAAAAGTACTTTTTTTATTGTAGAATCACCATACTACCCTTTCTAAAAGTTTTGTTGTTTTTATCCCTTTCGGCGGCGATTTTTTTAGTTTTATCTTATATGCTTAGTAAAACATTTGAAAGGTCTATTTTGTATGTATTTTTCGATTCCCTTACACCTCCCTCCCCCGTTGTGTTTAGTCAACATATCGTGTTTTCCAAACGGCTGCTGCGGCGGTTCATATCGATCATAAGCTCGTGAAAAAGGAAAAATTTATACTAGTCAACCAAATGTGAACCATTTTTACACTGCTTTTAGCTTTTTCTATATGTGAAAACAACCTTCAACCGCATTCCGGCCAGCGGTTGAATTAAAAAGCCGCCGCCATTTTGAACTTGGTGGATGTTATTTGATGCTGATAGCTTCCAATGCAAGATGTTTTAAATCATACCAAACTAACATTCAGTGAAAGGTGTAAAAAGTCTCTAACAAACGGCGATGTCTATGTTAAAAGTTGTAAGAACTTTCACGAACAACCAGTTATTCAGACAAAATCTCAGTAGGCTGTTAAGGAATGTTCAATTCTGTGCTCGATTTGCAAGTGAAAGTGCAAGATTTCAGAGTGGCGAACAAGATTTCGACAAAGAGGCTTATAATCGTCGCCAGAAGCGGTTGGTGGCTGCTATCATTGGTTCTTCTGTAGGACTGATCGGTTCGAGTTATTGTTTGTATAGAAAACTTAGCAAGGCAAATGCACAGAGTCCAAATGCCGCCCTTGATAGCAGAAACCCTGGTGGTGAAAAGAACTCAGATGAAAATAAAGAAGAAGAAACCGACGGAAAAAGGAAAAAGGGTAAACATGGATTCAGGGAAAGAAGGGTGAGAAAGTTTGCTTTGCTACTGCGCCTTAGGCAGACCTGCTACCCCCCAAATAAATTAAATTAACTGGAAGCTGGCTTTTACATGTAGCTACATCCCTGCATGTTAATTTGCTACTGTGGCTGAAGGGGTCAGGTGCTTGGGTGCTTATTCGATATTTAACAATTATTCCTCGAGCCCAAATGGGCTCTGAGTCAATAGCCCATGAGGTCGAAGGCTGAATGGGCTATTGACTCAAAGGCCATGAGGGCGAGAGGAATAATGTTATTGTTTTAGTAAAATCCAACTAGTTGGTCAAAAATATTGAGACAAAACAACTTTAGTTAGCAAAACATGATTCAACGGCCTTTATTTTGGTTTTCAAAGCCGGCGCTTTTCGCTACTAGTAGGCTATAACATATAGCTTAGTGGTAGCTCAACCAATCAGAACACAGCATTGATGACAGGCCACTAATTAGATTTTACTAATGATTCTCAGCCTGCATTGCAAGCAGACTTGTTACTCAAGACCTAGTTAGTCAATAGAGAATAGTCTATGTTGTGGATGTAGACACATGCTAGTAATGCAATGTATCTCTTCAATTACCTTGCTCTTTTGAGTGATTAAATTTTTCTTCTTTTTTAGATTATTGAATATGAAAATCGTATAAGGCAGTACAGCACACCTGACAAAGTTTTCAGGTACTTTGCATCACTCAAAGTTGTTCATGTTGGAGAAGATAATGAAGTGTTTATGACACCAGAAGATTTTGTGAGATCTTTAACACCTGGAAAAATACAACCAGCTGGTAATAAATTCTAGGAATTATAGTCTAATCATATTGATTTTATATAAATGACCCAACAGCTGAATTTTATGTCTGAACATTAGCTGTTTGCCCATTTCTTCATTCTAACAGAAAGACACCTCTAAGTTTTAGCTAGGTGCGAAAGTTAATTTTTTAGTAATTCCCATAACTGCATGAACCAAATAATATTCTATTTTATTAGTATGAGCAATCTTGCTAATTGTAGTCTTATAGTGTAGTTCCCCCTAGCTTTAAAAAAAGACTCCTTCCCCAGAAGAAGTCTACTGAACAAGCAATATGGTGTATTTTTGGAAATGCAGTATTTTAAGAACTGCAAGGTAGGCTGTGCTTTTTTATTTAGCCTGTGCCAGGCTCTTGGTCAGTGTAGATAAGCTCTCTCTCTCTCCACCCCTCACACAGTTTTCACGGTTTTTCTTTTTTTCGATCTGTTCTCCCCACTCTCTTGGAGCCTGGAACTGTCTAATTTTCATTGAGCTGACCCTAAAGCCCCATGCATACAGGTGCAACATTGTTGGATGTTACATGTTACTTGTTGCGTCCATTTGCACACCGTGTTGTATGAAGCCTGTCAAACTTTTAGCTACGAGCAAAAAATGAACAAAACTCCCAACATTGTTGGACCAACAATGTTGGGAGTCATTGCATCTGTGTGCACATAGCTTAAATTAAAGATAGATAGACAGATAGATAGAAACTTTATTAAAAGTGTCAAGGCCGTCTAGCCAGGGAAAAAAGAATCCCTTACTAATTTGGGGACACCAATTAGGGGAGAATATACAAAGTAAAAACTATATACAGTAGTAGGTAAAATATCTATAGTTATCTAATTACGAGATATATAGTAAAAATATACAGAAGTCAAAATGAACAAAGGCTACAGCCTGCGCAGCCATCATCTAAAAGTTCACTTATATTGAGTTGGCGTATCTTGCTTTTAAACCACATTAGGGTTGTGACGTCCCTAATACTCTTGGGTAGTTTTGTCCATAGCCTAGGCCCTAGATATCTAACAGAGTGCTTGCCGTAGGTGACTGTCTCATACCTAGGTATAGAGAAATCTGCTTGCCTCAGATTGTAATTACTATTTGGTTCTTTTAAGATGTTACTTTATATGCAGGGCACAGTTTATGCTTTACTTTATACATAAGGATGCACAGATCCTGTAAGCGACTATTTAGTAGTGTGGGCAGGTCTGCCTTCTCTAATAGTTGTTCATATGTGTTATTTCATAATTAAGCAATAGAAAACGTTTTCCGTGTTTGCATAGGCTGATATAAACACGAGAGGGGTTGGGAGAATTCGAGACAGTTATGCAAACCTGAGACGAAGTCGAGGGTTTGCGTAACTGTCGAGAATTCTCCCAACCCCTCTCGTGTTTATATCAGCCTATGCAAACACAGGAAAAAAGTTTTCTATTGCTTTTATAAAATAACTTTCCCGAGAAAAAAAAACACAAAACTCTTTGTATGTCACTGATTAAAAGAGAAATTCCTACCAGTCGCAAAATCTTGTCCACGAAGTCTTGCACGCGTAATCAGTTCTTGTTTTACAAAAAGATGCTTTGCAAAATACAGATTTTTCTCGCTTAATACGGTCAGCTTAAGCGAAGAAAAATGTACACACCTTCTTTGTAATGATTTTCCAAGTTTCAGCCAATGAAGGAATGGGTAAATAAAGTAAACTTTTTTAGTTTTGAACTCGAAAACTTTTTCAAATTTGTGCTTGCGTGATTAGCGCGTGAAAAGCCAAACAACTTGACGCCACAACCATGTTTTCATACTCTCATGCAAACACTCCTCTCGGCCAATCAGAGCGCGTGTACTATCTTAGTTATTTTATAAGAGTTTCTGTTAATTTACTCTAGGTTTAGGACTTGATGAACATGAAAGATTTAACTCAGAGGTAAATGTATGGAGTGTTTTTGTTAAATAATATTTAATTTATTGAACTTAATTTACTGAACTTATGTTCTACATGTAGAACGTCTTTCCAGATTTGCTAACATACATTGTAATAATAATATTTTTTGATTCATCAACTTTTCTGTTCATTGTGTTTCTTCTTTCTTTAATTTTTCATGTTGTTTAGGTTTAGACATAGATTTAAGGTGTTGATAGACAGGGCCTTATGTGTCGTCTCTCTTCCCTGAGGAGACTAGAAGGTCTTGCCCAGCCATTATTGTGTTGTGAACAAAGGCAGTACATACTCCTCCGTTACTTAAAGAACCCGAGCTCTGATCCAACTGGTAAACAATCCCAGGCCCATATTGCTCCAAAGTCAAGTGCCCAATGAACTCAATGATTTTGTTACCCCTGCATCCTGCGTCTCGGCACATTACCATCCCCCAAGATGCAAGAATTCACAGCAGGCATCCTGTAGGATGCCCATATTCATAATCAAGCTAAGCAGTGATTAATCAGTGACACCTGTCAACTAATTACTGAGGGTCGTACATTTAAAGGAAAGAGGCCTTGATTGACTTTTTTGGTCTTTGGCTGACTTTTATTTCTCATTCCATTTTCACGGCTGTCACTCAATTTTAAGTAGGCAAGGAAATTTGAAGATTGCTCTAGCTGTAGAATCGTGATTGTGTTGGCAGTAATGTTGTGTATTATTTTGCTAAAGTAGCAAGGGCTAAGTCATTTCTTAATCTAACAGCCAGTCATTGAATGTCAAATTGAATGCCCTGTATTACTTGCAGTTTGTTTGTTAATTACATGTACATGTAGTCCTCCTTTTACAAACATTGATTTTTGTGTTTAATAAAATGTACTTTTATTAATTTTAAACAGAAACATAAATACAAAGGTCTTCTGTCAGATCAGCTGGGCTCTGATAGTGTGTTCTTGAAGATGGGAGAATATGGGCTGATTTCATTCTCGGATTACATATTCCTTCTAACAGTTTTGTCAAGTATGTTGTAAATTTTTTTCTAATGTATATTTACGGCCCTATTTCTTCATCATGGTAAATTTATTTCAGTTGTAGGATTTCATCTTCCGATGTTAATATTATTTTAAGAACACTGAAGCTAACACTATAATCACTTATACAGCCATGATGTTTTATTGTAGTAAGCAATCTTGAAGTTAGAGGAAGGCAAAAAACTCATTTACAGATTAAGTACTTGCTTTAAGCTTTCAGTTTTCTCTCTTCTTCCACACCGATCCCCTATTTCCTTTGAAAGTATCCACATACATCTACCTGATACTTGTCTATCATGGAATTACAGATTAAGTGATGAAATATGTGAAAAAACTGACTGCCAATGAAAACTTTTTCTCATATTTTCTCGTTTCAAGTTCCCCCTAGAATGTTTAAAATTGCATTTCAAATGTTTGACTTCAATGGAGATGGCGAGGTGTCACCAGAAGAATTTGAAAAGGTAAGAAACTTGGTACTGAACTGCAAAAAGCTGGAGCTCTCGTTTCAAGTTCCCCCTAGAATGTTTAAAATTGCATTTCAAATGTTTGACTTCAATGGAGATGGCGAGGTGTCACCAGAAGAATTTGAAAAGGTAAGAAACTTGGTACTGAACTGCAAAAAGCTGGAGCGCCCATAGTTAGGTGAAACTGGTGCTCTCTCAAATTTTTTTTAGTAGACCCTGGTAAAATAATCAGCTGCATCCCTGTGTTATTAGCTAGCATATTATTATTTTTCGCATCAATAAAAAGAAATTGCAGCTAAAGGCTGTGCTGTTAAAAGTCAATTATGGCTCCTATTTATATAGATCTTCAGTGTATAATTTATCTCCTATCCACTGCCCACAACTTCATGTAAGGGGTTTTGTATATTCTTTACATAAAGAGTCCTGCAAGATTACCAGTCCAATTATGAACCATATTAAAGGTATTTGACATGTACAGTTTGGTTTTCTAAAAGTGAAATCCTATCAAGTACTCTCTCAAACTTGTTCATACCAATCATGGAGAGAAAGAAGGAAGAAGGAGGTTTTGGTATTGTTTACTATAATATATTTTAATAAAATTTTGCAAACTAAGCTGTGAAGTAATTTCTTTAAAATATATTATATCATTGTAAAGCTACAGTGCAGGGGTTTGGTAAGCTTTTTGACTTGTTGTAGCCCGTTCCCTAAAGGTATCTGCCTAAGGGGATACTCGGCACTGCAAATTTTTTTTTACTCAACCTTTAAACATGTACCGTTTCTTTTTATTTCCTGTTAATTGTTTGCATTTCAGCTCATCAAATAGAAAAGTTATGTATCTAAATCTTAAACTACTGATCCATGTGCCAACCATGAAAAGGGTCTTCCCTCAACGATACATACTATTAATAAATCATATGAAGGATAATGTGTAACTTATTTGATTACTCTTAGGTACAGAGTATCCTGTTTAGCCTGACACAGACTGGAATGCGACATCGTGATCATTCAGTGACAGGCAGTGTACTGTCGCCACATGTTAACAGTGGCCTTAAGGAGTACTTCTTTGGGAAAAACATGGAGAAAAAGCTTACTGTGCAAAGATTTGCTGAATTTCAAAAGAATCTTCAACAGGAAGTCATGTTCCTTGAGGTACATTTTCTTTAAATGATCATTTTGATAAATGTAACCCTCAACTAGTCTGTCATTATGCAAAGAAGAATGTACTCTAGGCTTGACAGGAGTGAAATCATGAAGCCAGATCAAGCATTGCTTCTAGGTGTTAGCAAATTAATATTGTCACAAGTGACTGTTGGAAACACCTTATTTGCTTACATTTATTAAGTTGAAGGTCATTACCTTATCAGTGTTGTGTATACTGACTTGATTTATTTGTAATGTCAGTTGACTCACTGTGCATGTCCCTTGTAGAGTGTGTTTATTTTGCTCTTTTGGCTTGAATCGCCTGCAATCCTACTATTATTGGCTACTTCAATTTGTATTAAAACCCTTGATCAGAGCATACCATACTACACTGAGACAGACTACTTGGCTTATGGCTGTTCATCGGCTTATACTTTAAAATTAATTGCTTTTTTCTTTTTTCGTTAAGTTTAATTCTTATGATCTAGTTGATGGACGAATAACAGAATGGGATTTTGCTGACATGCTTCTAACCTACTCAAGTTTCCATGAAAAGAAAAAACAAAAAATTCTCAGGAAAGTGAAGAAGTGTTTTAAAGAAAATTCACAGGTAGGAACAAACAACAACATAAATAAATTGAGAACTTCATCCTCTTAGTTTAAAAATTTGTTTTGGTTCATCAAGAGTTGCTAATAAAGTGTATTCACTCACGACTGGCCAGCATCTATGCTAATCAATATAAATGGAGAACTTGACCCTCTTATTTGAAAAATTTGTTTTTGTTTATCTAAAGTTGATAATAGAGCATATTCACTCACGTGGCCAGCATATATGCTAATTAATATGAGCAAAAGAAAGTTTTTACATTAGAAAAGAGTTCAGTTCCCACTGGGTTGTCAAGATTGGTACACCAACATGGCTGCCGTACGTTTCATTGTTTTGGAACACCAATTGACATGGCTGCCGTGATGTCATGTGAATACGCTCTAAATGATATGAAAACATATTTTTTCTTTCTCTGTGACTAAAAGGGTTAGTATCTGAAGTTAAAATACTCAGTTCAAATGTTTTCTGTTTGGATCAATAACAGTGTTAACTGTTTTCATAAAACGGGGATATTGGACAAATAATATTAATAAATAACTGTTTATTTAGACCGGCCAGAATTGTTGGTTAGTCTAAGCTATACCCTGGTCTAGCCAGTAAAGACATTAATGGCTATTTTTATTTATTTCAGTCACACCCACTAGGACAGTATTATTTTTATATTATTTTTTACAGGGAATAACTTTCAAAGATTATTTGGATTTCTTCTGTTTTATGAGGAACATTTCTGAGGCAGACATGGCTTTGAGCTTCCACAATGCTGCTGGTAAACCTATCGATCCAGGTATACAATTCCTGACGGGGAGCGAGTTATTAAACATTTCATAATACATATATTTTCTCTGATGTGTCTGATTTGGACATTAATTGTGAAGCTATAGAAATGAAACCAACTTTTGTTTATTTGTTACAGACACATTTAAACAAGTTGCTAAAACAGTGATGGATGTAAATTTGAGTGATAATGTGGTGGATGTTGTTTACAAGATGTTTGATGAAAATGGTAATAATTTATTTATTAATAATACGACTATTGCTAGTGTAATGTTTTACAAGTGTTGTTCCTGCTTTCAGACTCTAAAATCGAGACAACAGCTACATGTCTTGTAAATTGTTCTTATTGAATGGTCCTCATAGCCCAGGAGTAAACATTTATTATAAGTAAATCTTCTCCCCTATAGTTGTCAAAGGAGTCAGTCCTTTCTCCATTTTACTTTTTTCCTCAAATGTATTTTGTTTGGTTTTAATGAGACATTGTGTCCACATCTCCATACTCTCCATTCTCTGTCCACACCTCCCTGAAACTGACCCCTAAAGTTGCAGGTCCCTGCTGCCCATTCTTCAGTCTTTTTCTACACTTACAACCAGTGCCATGGTTGTCCATCATGTACAAACTTGGAAGGCTTGGGATAGGATATTTCAGATGATGGTTCAAGTCATTTTTCGTCAATACCAACTTCTCAAAGTACTTTATTATCTGTAGAGAGTAATGTTTCCTATTTTTTTCCATTTCAGATGATGGTGTTCTTAGCCACAAGGAGTTTGTTGTTGTCATGAAAAACCAACTTGTCAGAGGGCTAGAAAATGTAATTATCTTTGTTAAAGAAAATATTTTAACCTTTAAAAATTACGATTTTTTTAAACTCATTGACTTACTCATGGTTGTTTAATCATGGCTCACAAAGACGAGTTTAAACATTCACAGGCATTTTGCAGCTTCTTAAAGTTTCCCGTCCCCTCTTTTCATATTGTCTTATTTATCTTCTCATGTTTTTTTTTGGTTTAAGTGTAGTCATAATGGGCTTGTTAGGCTATGTTTCTGGATTTGTTTGCTTTGGGTTTGGTTTGCCGTTAGATTTTTCACCCCCTGGTCCCAGATGTTCCAAAGGTGGGTAGGGCAGTAATTTTTGTTTCCCTAATACTTATCCACTGGATAGTAATTTATCCGGTGGATATCGCTATCCAGCTTTTGAACAACTGGGGCCTGGTTAATAGGACACTCATCATTCACTTGTGACCAGGTGTTAACTTTGAAATTTTCCTCAATTTACAGCCCAAGGACACAGGATTCAGCAGACTGATGCAGGCTATTTGGCATTGTGCAAAACATGTTACATATACAACACTCCATCCAAAGAAATCAACAACAGCTGAAGACTGACAAGATGAGACGAACACAAATACAGCCAGTATTATACACTTAATGTCAGATCTCGAGGGAAACAGTTAGTTTTGTTTTCCCAAGAGTCCTGATGTTTCCCGAGACGAAGTCGAGGGAAACATCAGGACTCGAGGGAAAGCAAAACTAACTGGTTTCCCGAGGGACCTGACATTAAGTGTTTTGTTATATTTCTAGACTTTCGCTTCAACAGCAACAAAAGAATAACGGGAGCGAACCAAAACAGTCGACTCGGCACTTATAACAACACAA